GTTTATTTTATTCGCGGCTTCATTTCCCTCTCCCGATCTGGCTAATCTACATGCCTCCGTCGAAGGAGGCATGTAGTCTAGACACACCCTTGGTGTGGTCTCGCCAGATAACTCTGGTGACTCCACTGCTGGGACAGCTCGGGGGTCCTGTAGGCGTGGTACCCTCCATGGCAGCTCCTGCGGCTCCTCCTCCGCACGCTGGTCAGGGCCCTCCGCTCCTGGCTCGCTGCCCTCCGGAGTGGCACAGACAGTCCCACCCCCATGATGCGGTCCAGGGCGTCAAATTAGGGGCAGGTGTCTGCCCCTGTTGAGGAGCTGCCCCGAGTGGCCCTGGCGTATGCCTGCCGCAGCTCTTTGATTTTCATGCACACCTGCTCTTGGGTGCGCATGTTGCCTTTGGTGGCCATGGTGGCAGCTATGCGGCCATACACGGTTGGTTCCTCCATCTAGTGCGGAGCTCATTGACATTGGAGACCTCCCCCCAAACCTCAATGAGGTCCATGATCTCCGCACTAGTCCAGGAGGGTGCCGCTGTCTCCGGCCTCTGGCTGGCGCCTGGGAGCTGGGGGACTGGGCGGGGGACCGCTGGCTGGCTCTGGCTGCCCGGCTCATTGTGTGGCCACTGGGTCAGGGGCAGCGACTGCTGGAAGGCCTGGCTCTGGCACGTGCACTGTGGCCAGAGTCTACCCCTTAGGGTTCTGGGGCTGGGGGAAGAGGAGAAGAGTTTTCTTGATTTGGCCCAGAGTGGCCACCAGGGGAAACTGGAAAGGGCTGGAGGCCCCCTATTTCAAAATAAGCATCTACACAGCGCTTATTTCGAATTAGCTATTTCGAATTTGGCCTTATTCCTTGTAGAATGAGGTTTACCAAATTCGAAATAAGCGCTCCGCTATTTTGAATTTATTTTGAAATAGCAGTTTGCCTTTATAGACGCTATTAAAGTTAATTCGAAATAACGGCTGTTATTTCGAATTAACTTTGATGTGTAGACATACCCTCATTCTAGGGATGTTAACTGGTAAACATAAGGCTTACCAATATGCTTACTGATTAACCAGCCTTTGCCAGTTAATTCTGCTGACAGCGAGCCAGGCAGGGGCCAGTAAGCTGGGGAGTGGAACCCCACAGCATGACCTCAGTTAAAACGGTTAACCAGTTAAGCGCTATCATTCATTGTTCATTTTTCTTTTATCTTCCCAATTTAGTGTCTTCTTACTGCACAGATATAATAATACTAAAATGACTAACATGATGTGTTCATTACACAATTATCTTGACCTTATATTGTCCTTCCCTCATCTTCCCTGACCTTTCTCTGTC